ACAGAACTGGGGTACAGGCCAGAGGTGCAGGGGCAATGAGAGGCTTCACCAGAGACAGAGTAGGGAGCAGAACAGGCAGATCAATGAAGTACACTGCTGAGGGGAGCAGCGGGCGGGTCAGGAGAGGTCTGCCATGCCATGTGCGTCACCTCTGGGGCCAGGATTAAACTCATGTTGAAGTGGCTTTAGCTTCTGAGTGCTGTGCTTTAACCTGCTGTGCCATCAGGGAGGGCCATAATATAGTTTTATGGGAGAAAGAACAGAGCACTGGTAATATGGACCCAAGCCTAAGTTCTCTCTCAAGCTTGCTTCATGAACTGCTTCTCCTATTTTCTAGCTCAACTTTTCAATACATTATCACCTGTACTGTCCCATTTCATTGCTCAGTGAAATAAAAATTCTAGGTTTATTAATTTTCTCTAAGTGAAAAAATGAGTGAGAAGTGGTATGCTGAGATTATTCAAGTTAATAAACACGGCATATATGAGTGTGCGTAATACCTAGTTGAATACTTTAGTTTTTAAAGCATCTTCCCATACAATACCTCATTTTTATTTCCTCTGATTCAATAAGGTAGGAGGGCAAGCACTTCTCACTCTCAGAAGAAACAAAGAACCAGAGCTAAAATGTAGTAGATTTGATTCTAATAAACCTTGTTAACTTATTAAAAACACAGAACACATAACATCAGACTAATATTGAAAATAACTTACTCCTTTTGGACAACTCAGGCCTCCCCCTAGAACTGAATGTAGAATTATGCCTGTAAGTTAGGGCTTCAGTATAAACATTAGTGATCTCCGTAGTACCAGTGCAGAGGACATGATAACAGAGCTGTCTCACCAAGCCAAGTCCATGTCTACCATAGTGCTCGTGTACAATTCTGGAGTTTTATCAATTAAAGGAAGTTATGAATTACCCATATGGTCTGAAATCTTCAACTCATGTCAAAGTAAGTTATACTTGAGCTTTGTGCTTCCTTACCTATAAAACAGGACTGTACACACCACATTCACTCTCATTCTCTATCTGTCTTTGTCTCTTTCTCTCTCTCTGGAGGGTAAAGATTAAATGAAATACCCCTAAAAAAAATTAGTGTGCCTTCTTCCAACATATAGTAGCTATGTAATAAAAACAGGAGAAAAAAATTGCTGATATCTTTACCCAAACATAAAGAAAAGTAATTTTCTGACAAAGCAGAAACATCGAGTTGCATTAAAACATTGTAAGTTATGGGCCCTCCCTGGTGGCGCAGCGGGTTAAAGCACAGCACTGAGAATCTGAGGCCACTTCCGTATGAGTTCGATTCCCGCCTTCCGCCTGCCCCGGAGGAGACCACATGGCGGGCCAGACCTCTCCTGACCCGCCCGCTGCTCCCCTCAGCAGTGTACTTCGTCGATCTGCCTGTTCTGCTCCCCACTCTGTCTCTGGTGAAGCCTCTCGCCGCCCCTGAGCCTCTGGCCTGTACCCCAGTTCTGTATGAATAAATAAATCTTTAAAAAAAAAAAAAAAAAAAAAAAAACATTGTAAGTTAAAAAAAAATTTAAGTTTAATATGAAAAAATTTTAAGTTTAATATGAAATTAGTTTTCTGTGTTTCTATGGTTATAAAAGTAATTCATGCTTTACTAGGCAAAGAAAATGAAAACCACCTATAATGCTACCACATACCATCACTCAAAGTTGTGATGTATATAATTTTTCCAAGGTTTTACACATGTACACATTTAGGCAAAAGCAAATTTTATGTGCATGCTTTAGGCAAATGAGATTGATGAACTCAATTTGTTTTTCCTAAAGTAAAAGAAAATCTAGTCCTCCAAAAGAAACAAAAAATAAAGACCTAAGTACCTCAGTGAGATTATGAGAAATGCTATTTTATAACCAGTTTTTTAACTTAATATACCACAAAGTATGATTTCATTGCTGTAGGAGCAAATCATTATCCTTTATGTCTAATATTTTACTAAGTAGCAAACTTCTGCTCTCTTCTGTGCCAACACTGCTCTTCTCCCCAGGCATATTCTAAACACCACACTCCTGTGATCTAGTTAATCACATTGTTCCCAGATATTTCTCTTGTACAGTGAACACCTTTGCTCACCTGGAGGGCATAACATGCAATTTTAAATTCTGATGGGCGCCTCGTTTGCTCTCTGAAACAGCTGTCCATGCACATTGCTAGCCCTAGTGTATCACAGTGCTGCCCTCCCACTCCTGGCCTATTTAGGGTTTGGTCTGAAATAAAATCCTGCTTTCACAACCATTAGTAAAGATCCCTTTAGGATCAATAAAGGGAAACAAAAATATCTGATTTACATAAGTAATGGGAGGAACAAAACAAAACATTTTCTTCTGAATGACTGAAGGTAGAAAAACCTAGGATCCAAATACTCATTCAGCCGGGAGCTGATTTTTATCATGCTGCTCACTCTTCCTCACCACGCTTTTGTTTGTAGTTTTAGTCATTCCCTGTGGTGAGCAGGCGACATAGAGAGGGGAGAGGAGACGCGGACCTTGAAACAACGCCTGAGGCTGAGCCACGGCCCGGTGCCCCCTCCCCTCGGCGCCAGCAGGCGTCAAGCTCTGTGGGCACGGGTGTCACGAAAGCGGAGAGCCACAGGCCCGAACAGTCTGCCTCCCAAACGGTAAGTGGCTTGCTCCGAGTTCGACGGCCATCCACCAACTCAGTATCCACGATGCTTTAATAGAATCCTAACCTCACCTTTCAACCTAAAAACAAACGTGACAACATGCTGCGGCCACCCAGAAGCGAAGTGTACCTGACACCGTATTCTAAACCAGACTCTAGCCAGCTGCAGATGTACTTTACACCCTGAGACACTGAGTAAGCTCTTTACAACAGTTAGTAAGAAAAAAAAAATCAAAAACCACTTGATGTGCTTTCATCAGGATAAAATGATAGGAAAAAAGTTAAGTGAACGCTTTATTTTTTGAACTATTACTTAGAGATCCTTCAAGTGTTCACAGAAAGAATCCAACAACCAGATCACAAGCTAGCTTTATCGTTGTAAAATGCCACAGACTTGGGTGAGGCAGCGAAGTGGCAGCCCCGCACAGCAGCCTCCATCTCTGCCGTGGACGCCCACTCAGGAGACTTTCGGTCTAGCTACCCGCTAGCTACATTTATGTTTGCTTTGACCCTTAGGTCATTTACTGACCAAATAATGCCTGAGTATTATTTAGATGACAGCTAGTATTTTAGGCTCTGGGCATCTGTAATAGACAGTGATGAAAAGTAGAAACTAAGCCTCTCAAATTCTGCCTAGAAAGACCACAAACAAATACAAATATTCGTCATGTAATTTTGGGTTTAACAATTTAATGGCTTACAGAAGCATTAAAACAAGGGCTATATGAGGCACTGGTTGGATTTGAGGTGGGATAATCAAGAAAGACTTGCTTCTGGAAGTGATGTCTTAACTAGACTTTGAATAAGATGAGGCCACTCCATGCAGTGGTCTTCCTGAACAATGTTTCAGGCAGAGGAATAGCAGAAATGACATGTGATTAAAAGAAAGGTGGCCTGTGTGGCTGCAGCACTGTCCCTGTGGAGAGTGGGCAATGAGGATGGACATGACTAGATGATGTAGAGCCTCAGAGGCCACGGCAGTCTGAATTTGGTTCTACTAAGAATGGGAAGTCATTAAAGGATTAAAGGTCAGGCTGAAGTGAAGTATCACCTGATTTAAGTTTTCAAAAACCTTTGGTGGCTATGGGGAGTATGAACTGCAGCAGAACAAGAAAGACTATAGGGAGATCAATACAACAGGTCAACTGGAATAGTCTGCAGGAGAGAGACTAAAGGCTGGGTTGGGGTGGTGGTGGGAACCGAACTTGGTCAGATTCAGGTATACTTCAGAGGTGAACTATCATGACTTACACTGAAATCGATCCAGTTGGTTGAGGAGTGAGAGCAAAACAGGGAAACCAAAGTCGACTCCTATCTGGGACCTCAGCAAGCGGACAGATGGTAATATGAGGGGATGGGAGCAGACACGGAGCAGAGAGGGCAAGCAGGGAGTCTGCGACTGGCAGGTAAAGTACTGCACATGCAGCAGTAACACAGGCTGCATGTGAACAGGATGAGATCCTGGGAGAGAAACAGGGCTGAAGTCCAGGACATGGCAATATTGACTGGATAAGGAGAAGAAAGGGAGTTGGCAAAAGAGCTGGGAGGGAGGACCCTCTGTAGCTGGAGGTTATTTAGGAGAGTTTAAAGTCAAGGAAATGGAAAGAAATGTTTTAAGAAAGAAGAAATAATCAACCAGGTTAACTGTTCCTTGAAAAGTGAATAAAAAAAGGGAAAGAAAATTCATAGATGGAGTAACAAATGTAGCAAGATAGAAATATATTAATAAGAAATAAGGTGGGAAAATGTTATAAAGAGAAAGGCATTTGATCTTGATCAAGTTAATACCTTAAAGCTCACAAATATAAAAGGGACAGCTCAGCAAAATTTCTGCAGTATGCTGACTTGACAGATCTTGTTCATTTTTGCTTCCCTTCTTAAAGGAGAGGAAGGAAGCAATGACTCAGGAGGATATCCCGAGTCTAACATTCCTGTTCCCTGAGGAGTCTCACTTGGCAATAGTATGATGCCACTCAGATCTTACATGGAAAGAGGATCGGCTAGCCTAGAGGAGACTGAAAGCGTGCCCCCCTGATTGTGATCCATCAAAGTCGTGACAGTCTCCTGCCCAAATCAACTCTAAACTAAAAGCTTCTTATGTAACCTAACGGCCTGAATTAAAGGAAGATCCTACCCACAGAGAGTGGAGCCCACACCCACACCCTCAGTGGAAGCATTCTCTCAGCACTACATTTCTTTTTCCAGGGCTGCTACAGTTTCACTCTCAGACTCCAGCCTGTGTCTCACTCCGGTGTGTCACTGAGAACAAAACTAAGAAAAGTGAGCTGAGGCCTGCTTGTACCTGTGCCACTTGACTTTGCATCTCCTCCTAACTTCCCGCCCCTTACCTGGGTCATTTTGTCCACAGAGACTGGAATTCCATCGATGGTGAGAGGCGGTAGCTCTGAGTTAACCTCTTGTGGCACAGGGGCGTGTTCTGCCAGGGCCGACTCCAGGTCTTCCAGGATCATGCTCTTGTACTTACGCACCTGCAGGGAATTAAGGGAGAAGTAAACAAGATGCCCAACAACCAGGGAGGGTTAGTGCCAAGCAACCAGAGAGCAGGTGGGGCTGGACGCCCTCAGTCAATGCAGAGCCCTAAGAGCAAACAATTCGAGCGCTAGCAGATAAAAATACCCGCTGGCCCTAAAGACATCACACTGTACAGAACTAAATGGAAAGATGATGAAATTACAAGTAACATCAGTAGAAAGAAATCAGTATTAAAAAGTTCTACAGAAACACTCCTTTCATTGTTAAAATTGTGTTTTCTCAGACAAGGCTGGCCTCACCTCCTGTTCAGATTCAACAGTGAAGACATTCATTATGCTGTATTTCCTAGGCTGTTTGATATACACCTAGTTGTGGCAGTTAATTGACAAACCATTTCAAGGGGCAGCAGGTTCTCTGTCCTTAAAACTTTAAGCAACTTTGAAATGGCTGCTACTTTCCTGCAAAGTCAGGCACCCAAACAGACAGTGTGCATCTGAGACAAAAACAAAGTTTCCAGTGTAGCTTGCTGTCACTGTTCGTAGGGCCCAGAGCCAGAGCGAGACCTAAGTGACACGTCTCCTCCATTCTGCTTCTCTGATAAACTTCAAACCCATGACACCGTCACAGCTCTGTCAAGCCCAGCTTTGTACCAGGTATTGTTCTAACTCCCTTCCTCTACCAGTGGAAGGTCTCACAAAGAAGTTAAGAACAGCACACTTGCGCATGCACACATTCTATTATGATGAGCAGAAATGGCAGACAGACACTGAATCCTGCATCCTCCAATAATGGGTTTATTCAATACTTGAAGAATACACCAGGGAGATGAGTACACCTCTGAGAATAGCAGAAAGCAATGGAGTTATGTTGATGTGACAAAACAGGACAGGAAGTTAATTTGTTTCTACAGTTCAAGCCCTTATCCTACGGAAAATAGGTTTGCCCAGAAGTTATAATATTTGAATTCTAGAGATTCTGTTAAGTGGACTGGACTCTCAATCAGGACATAGTTCCTAATAAGTACATCTCATTATGAGGATTAAAAAAGAAAGATTCCTAGCCCTCCCTGGTGGTACAAAGGGTTAAAGCAAAATATTATGCAGCCACTTCAGCACAAGATTGATCCCTGCCAGGGCGGTGACCCCCATGGTGCAGCAGACCTCTCCTGTCTTCTTGCTGCTCCCCTCAGCAGTGTACTTCATCACACTGCCTGTTCTGCTCCCCACTCTTTCTGGTGACTCCTCTCACCATCCCTGTACCTATGGCCTGTACCCCCATTCTGAATAATCTTAAAAAAAAAAAAAAAAAAGGATTCCCACACTCCACTCCAAGCATGAGGAAAAGTAAAAAGAATGTTGACTATGTAGTCACAACTTGCACAGTTAAAGACTACTCCAAAAAGGTCAACAAGGAAGGGGATAAAGAAAAAATATTGCACCTTGTTGAATCCTCATTCTAGAGCTTTAGCTTTATTCTGGTTTCTAATGAAATGAATTTCAAAAATTATTGACATTATATTTATTGTAACATAGGCAGCTACTGTTGCCATAGCAACTTTACAGAATTATATTTTCTGCTTCGTAGGTTTCTATAACCTATGTAGAATACATTGCCAACCTACAGAAAACCTGACTCTCATAAGCCAAAGTCCTGGCTTTTGAACTTTAATATCTAAATCATTATATTAGTATAACCATTAGGTTAAATCATTATTAGTATAAAGGCCCACAGAAAGTAAATGATAAAGGTATAAAAATGAATTTTATTGTGCTGGAAACATCTGGCACTCAAAGATAGGACATCATTAGCTTATTGCTATTACACTGCAAGATAGGTTAAAGCAATTTCAGTCATTTTACAGATCAGTGAAGTCCTAGGCATTCACATCCAGGCATTTTGCTAAACGTACTCATGCTACATAATTCCTTAAAAATATCCTGGGTTGCAAGAAATGCTGGTAAAGCATCCCCCAGAGTAATTTATAACAGAACAACTTCAGGGATGACTAGAGCATGGCTTTGTAAAGTTGAGTAATTCTGTGAGGATTACACAGCAGATGCCTCAATTCCATCTCATCTGTCACTTAGGAGATGATTATGTGCCCTCATTTATCAACTCTCTGAAACTGGGGTGTATTTGAAAACTGTTTCACACACCATGACACAGCACTTTTTAAAGCAGTGTGGCACCATCCACATTTCTGATGACACAAAGATTATATGAAGCACAATTCTGAAACGAGAAGTAATTCAAAAATGTTGCACTCTGAAGAAGTTTTAGTGATATGAAATTATTTCATGTACACGCCTCCTTTTTGGAATACACAAAAGCAGCATGATTAAACAAATCTTAATAATTATAAAATAAAAATTCTAAGTGAATAAGAATTATGTCAGTTTGTCAGTGTTTTTTCTTTCTTCATGCTACATGAAACAAATTGTTTGTCAACTTTTACCTTTTTCTCCAGAAACCACAGCTTAAATCTTGACACTTCAAACTAATATCATGTCAATGAGCTAGTTTCACAAATTTAAAAATCACCTAGTGACAAAAATCAGCTGCATCAGCCAACCATTCTCTCTTCCCCTAATTCATCCTACATACTATGCTACCATTTAAAATTTCTGAAACAGGGCTCTCCCTGGTGATGCAACAAGTTAAAACATAGCACCATGAAGCTAGCCTCAGCTGCTTCAGCATGAGTTTAATCCCGGGCCAAGGGGGTGACCCACATAGTCCAAGACCTCTCCTGCCTTGCCCACTGCTCCCCTCAGCAGTATACTTTGTCAATCTGCCTGTTCTGCTCCCCACTCTGTTTCTGGTGAAGCCTCTCGTCACCATGAGCCTCTAGCCTGTACCCTAGTTCTGTATGAATAAATAAATATATCTTTAAAAAAAAAAAAGTAAAATTTCTGAAACACTTGTTATAACCAAATACCACTTACTGAGCACTGACTATGTGTCTTATTACATACTTATTCAATTAATTTTGACATAATTATAGAAGGAAAATATTACTATTCCTATTTTGTAGATAAAATAAAAAACTGAGGCCTAATGAACTTACATAATTTCCCCAAATCATACAGGTAGTGTGTGTGTGTATCATTCTAGCTGGAAACCAAATTAACTTTTTTTTTAGTTTCAAATCGCTTCACCCATTTCACTGCCATTTTCCTTTTTTCTAGAAAGTACCTCTCTAATTTGCCATTTCTTAGAGGACGAAGTACAAGTTGCTCACTCCAGCATTTCGACCTTTCTGATCATCCTATTTTCCAGGCCCTCCAGGTGCCACTGTGCCTGTCCAGTCTATGGGATACTGGACTGTGGCCTCTATAGCACCCTGTTTGAGTTCCCTGTATGCCGTGCTTCATATGAAGTCCAAATGGTAACTTAGCTCATCTTCCTCCCTCTGTAACTGGTCAATCTCCTTGCGAATCTTTACAATTACCAAGTTTCTAGATGCATACCTTTAATTCTACTTATCAAAATATATTTTCCATCTCTCAAGATCCAACTCAATGTCTACTTCCTCTAAGGAACCCTCCCACGTATTCTTGACATAATTTGCTTTCTCTTCTAAATTCCTAAGTGTTCAAATCATCATGTGTCATTTATATTGCAAATTTCAGGCTAAATATGCACACACCTAGTGTGTGACATGGTTGAGCACAGAGACCAGGTTTTTTATTTTTTGCTGATATATATGATATGTCACATACTGAAATATGAGAAATGACTAAATAACAAACACACTCATAGTGTCCAAGATACAGGAGTCACTGGAGTTCTGGGAACAGATATGATTCCTGAGGATTTAAGAATTGGCTGCTATAACCACAACGTCAATGGTCCTTTAGTTAGGTTGCAAAAATGTACCAGACAAGATACCACAATTCTTTTGTAATCTCAGCACTTTTCTTAATGTAAGAGGTCCCATGAAAATATTTTTTAACTTTTTTTAACATATAGGCTTCCTTGAGATTAAAAATAAATTGTACTTATGGTATATAAGAAAGGCATGTGCTTCAGCAGAGTACGCTCTTCAGCTCTACAGCTGCCCTCAGACCTCTGATCCTGAAGCACAAACTGGTCCAGAGTTAGGACACAGCCCTTGGTCATGAAGTTATGCTGACTTCATCTCTAGTCTCAATCTTATTTCCTGTCCAGCCTCAGTTCGGATTTCAAGTTTTCCCTTTGCCCTCTGCATCCTTAGTTTTAGCCTTCAACCATAAAAGATTTAGATAGAATTTTTATCACATATTTTGTATCTAGTAATGTTACAGTTATTTGTTGAATAAGTAAATAAACAACATGGCTTTTACTGTTTTTAAACTATGTGTCCACCTTTTAGGTAACTTGAGGCCATTTTTTAAAACTATAATATGTAAATAAGTGAATGACTTATTCTACTTAACTACCAGTAAAGTGGAACTAAACAAAAGCAGGATGATTTCAAAGCTGGTGATAAGCCCAAAGCTGTCTCATGTTTCTATGACCGTTACCTACAGAACTAATTTCTGTTACCTACAGAACTTGTTTGTAATGTCCAGTGTATCCCACATAAAAGGTCATGGATTATTGACTATGTGAAAAGAGTCCAACCTTAGGGAGAAGTAGAAGTATTACATCCCAGACCTCAGACTATACTACAAAGCCATAGTAATAAAAACAGCATGTTACTAGAACAAAAAACAGACACAAAGACCAATGAAATCAAATTGAAAGTCCAGAAAGAAAACCACACATATGTGGCTAACTAATCTATGGGAAAGGAGCAAAGCATATACACTGGGGTAAGTATAGCCTCTTCAAAAAAACAGTGCTGAGGAAATTGTTCAATCACATGCAAAAGAATGAAACTAGACTACTACTTCACATTATGTACAAGAACCAACTCAAGATACATAAAAGACTTGAAAGAAAGACCTGAAGCCATAAGATACATTGAAGAAAACATAGGTAGAACACTCCATGACATACACCTAAGAAACATCTTTGAGGACTCGTCTCCAGAAGCAAGGAAAACAAAGAAGATAAACAGCTGGGATTACATCATGCTAAATGCTCTGTACAACAAAAGAGAGTAACCCAAACAAAGAAACATCCTACTAAACAGGAGAAAGTATGTGTACACCAAGCAACTGATAAGAAACTGACATCAAAGATCTACAAAGTGCTCACACAACTAACAAAATCAAACAACCCGGTCAAATAATGGGCTAAAAAGACAGTTCTCCAAAGATGAGATGCGAATGTCCAACAGGCATATGAAAAAATGTTTAACATCACTTATTTTCAGGGAAATGCAAATAAAAATCACAGTGCAATGCCACCTCACACCTGTGAGAATAGCCCATATTAAACAGTAACTTTTAGAAACAACAACAAACCTTGCTGCTGGCAAGGTTTGGAGATAAGGGAACCCACTTACAACACTGGTTGGAAAGCAAACTGGTTCAGACACTATGGAAAGCTTGTGCTGAGGTTCCTAAACACTAAAAATGGAACTACCATATGATTCAGTGATTCTGCTACTAGGAATCTACTCAAAGGACGCAAAAACACTATTTCAAAAAGAAATTTGCAGCACTATTTACAATAGCTAAGATATGGAAACAACCTAAATGCCCAAAACAGACAAATGTATCGAGAAGATATGGTATATATACACAATGGAATACTACTCAGAGATCAAACATTTGCAGCAACATGGATGGAGCTGGAAGGGATTATGTTAAGTTAGTAAGTCAAAAGGAAAAAGATAAATATTGAATGGAGGAATATAGAGAAACCAAACAAAGGGTCAGGAAAAGACAAAACTTGAAACTGACTACAGACCTAAAGCATGGGGGTTGTGGGGGGGAGAATAAAAGAAAGGGAGGGAAGATCATAAATGACTATGGAGATGGCTCATGGATGCTATGGTGGTAGAAGAACTGTGGGGGACTACACCTGAGAGGAAAAATCAAATAGTGTACACATATTAACAACAATGTTAAGAAAATAAATTTATAAAAAACAAAGAAAGAAATGTATCTTCGGGGGAGGAGGACAAGAGTTTCACCTTCAGAAACTCCTATGATTCTTCTGAAAAGACGTAAGTTCTCCATCTGTCCCTTAACAAAATATTTCTAGTCCTATTCCTACATCATAAAGCATATGATAGGAAAATAAGCCATTAAGAGAATCATTTGCAGGGCACAGCAACTTTACCATCTCCCATTTGCCTATGTTCTTCATGCCAGCTCCCCCTAAACATTATACAAGGTGATGATAATCAACTTTAGTTAATTTCTACTAGCCCTAAGTAGATATTATACTTACTTTACCCATAAGGACCCTGAGCCATAGACAGGAAAAATCAATGTGGGAACCACTCAAAAAATTAAAGTTTAAAAACAGTTTTTACAGGGCCTTCCTTGGAGGCACAACAGGTTGCGCAGCACAGCAAGCTGGCCGCATCTGCTTCAGTGGATCCCCAGCCCCAGAGGTGACCCACATGGCATGGCAGACCTCTCCTGTCTCTCCTGCAGTGGGAGAGACAGGAGAGGTCTGCCATGCCATTGGGTCACCTCCCTGGCCAGGGATTGAACTCAGTGCTTTTGAGAAACCTCCTAGTTTTCCATAGGGACTAGACCATTCTACATTCCCAATCACAGTGTTACTGGGAGTTCCTTTTTCTCCACACACTTGCAACCACTTGTACCCACGGTACTTAAATAAAATTAAAAACAAACAAACAAACAAAAAAAAAAAAAACAACTTAACCTGGACAGACCATTTTATACTAATGAGTTAAAGTTATTTGGCCAGAAAATAACAGTTCATAGGAGTATACAAGAATTAAATACTATTTTTTTATAAAGTCAGCTAGAATAGTTATGCAGTCAAACACTGAGCTATATTTCAAAATTGAAGCATACAATATTGAATCAAGTCTTTGAAGAAATACAGCAATTTTAAACATGCAACACAAATATCAGTCAAATGCTACCAAGGTTTGCCTCAGTCAGCTTACCTCTTGGAATTATTTACCTTTTTGCTTCTGACATAAATTTCTTGCAGAATCCTACATTGGTTTCTTAGCAAACATGACAACATTTTCCCCCCACTGCATTTGGTAAAGCAAAATACCTTGCCTTATCATTCTGTAGAAACAGAAATGATGCTATTTATTTTAATCTGCATAAAGTAGTTTGAAAACCACTGAAACTACTCTCACTCCTGGATAAGAGGAGACAGTGATAACCACTGTACTGTTGATAGATAATGGATCAGAAGAACGTGAACAAGAACCCACAAAAAGCAAAGGTTATCTTAGAACCCGGCTCAGTTCTCTCACCACGTTCTCCAAAGGTGCGGCACCAAACACTTTGAAGACAGGGTTGGGTTTGGAGGGTGAGATACAGAGGACAATAGCTTGCTGTCCCACTCTTGTAGTATACTCATCTAGTGTAGCTCGAAGTTTCCTAAAAATAAGAAGAGAACAAAAATAAGTAAAAAGATAGACATTATAGTGATGCAGACACAAAACTTACTTTGATTTGAAATGATTTACTCTAATTAGGTGTGTTTTCTCTTACCTTAAGTATGAGGTTTTATATCCTCTTCTACATAAAAATGTATATATTGTCTTAAAGTGCATTGATCTAAGGGAAAATCAGGACACACTGTTGACATGGCGAGTATGGTCTCTCCTGATCTTACCAACACCAAACGGGTCTACTTTACTGCTATTTAGGACAATAAAGATTACTGCTGAGATGTCTCCTGACAGCATTCCATCAGTTCCATGCTTAATGAAGGGAGCTCAAATGACCCACTTCTAATTTCTTTGATGTACACATTTGTTTATGTCTCACTGACATAATTTTATCCCAAAATACCATATTTCCCAGATTTTCATTGTGATGAAAACAATACCTCTCACCCCTACACTATTTTTAAAATGATGTCATAAATAGTTCTTGTCCAAATATATCAACACTATATGAAATAGAACAATATCTTTTTTTTTTTCAAAGATTTATTCATACGGAACTGGGGTACAGGCCAGAGATGCAGAGGGTGAGAGGATTCACCAGAGACAGAGTGGGGAGCACAACAGGCAGATCGATGAAGTACACTGCCGAGGGGAGCAGCTGGCGGGTCAGGAGAGGTCTGCCGTGCCATGTGGTCTCCTCTAGGGCAGGCGGGGATCGAACTCATGCAGAATTGGCTTAAGCTTCTTAGTACTGTGCTTTAACCCGCTGCGCCACCAGGGAGGGCCAGAACAGTATCTTTTTCCTTTAAAATCAGGGAAGATTATTTTAAAGTTCTAAATTTAAAGTTCTAAATTTTTGCAACAAAGCATACCCTTTCAAAGGACTAGTGAGTCCTGTTAATTCAAATGAAGCAAAAAAAATATATCTAAAGTTCAGTTTTTCTTTATTTTTAAGATTTATTTCATTTATTTATGAATATAAGAAATGGAGCATAGGCCAGAGGTGTGGGGATTGGGAAGATCACCAGAGACAGAGTGAGGAGCTGAACAGGCAGACTGACTAGAAAACACTGCTGATGGGAGCAGTGGGTTAGACAGGTGAGGTCTGCTGTGCCATGTGGGTCACCTCCCTGGCTGGGAATCAAACTCATGCCCCATAGCATGATAATGCTGAGACTTTAACCCTTACACCACCAGGGAGGCCCCCACTTTTTCATCTTTCTCTCTCTCTTTTTTTAAAGATGGATTTATTCATGCACACAGAACTGGGTTGCAGGCAAGAGATACAGGCGCAGAGGATTCACCAGAGGCAGAGTGGGGAGGAAAACAGGCAGATCTACTAAGTACACTGCTGACAGGAACAGCAGGTGAGACAGGAGAGGTCTGCTGCGCCATGTGGGTCACCTCTGGAGCGAGGGATCGAACTTGCACTGAAGTGGACACAGCTAGCTTGCAGTGAGTGCTGTGCTTTAACCAGCTGTGCCACCAGGGTGGGCCCTTTTCATCTTTCCTCAAAAGTATGGAATGTTGTATCTTTACCCATTATAGAACAGGTATTTCCTTAAAAAATACATTCTAGTTCTTCCTGCCTGTGAAGTGCTCATCTATGCTCATCATGGATATTTGCTAAAAGCTAATGTTAAGTACTTTTTGGGGTTTCTCTTCAGTTCTAGACAGTCTTCTAGTGTTTTAATTTAAATTGTACTTTATAGCTTTTGTCACGTATTTTTCATGTGTAATGGCACACGGATTTAACATTTCAATAAACAGAAAATTCAAATATAGTACTTAAAACACTACATGGAAAAACTTCTAGAAGATTTTACAGAAGAAATTTCTTATCATATGTGAATGCACATTGTACAATGTGTTAAAATATAAAGCCTTCCCTATACCACACTGGCATAAAATCTATCTTTGCAAAAGGATCACATATCAAAAAAGAAATTGATGCCTTCTATGACGGAATGGTTCATGTTAACTATATCTAGGTCCTATGCTCCCATTCTCTCTTGAAGACACTCCAATTCTTTTATTTTCACTGCCCCTTCGAAAACACTCTTCTCAAGTTTAGTCATGACTTCTGTTGCTAAGTCCAACGGTCACATTGCATCTTATTCAACTTGTAAGCAGTATTTGACAGGGCTTATCACATAGCCTCCTTCTGAAACATTTTTGCACTTGGCTTTGTTACCATTTTCCTGGTTTTTCTTCTAACTCACTTGTTCGTTCTCTGACTTCTATGCGTGCTCCTTTCATCTCTCTAACCTCTAAAGGGTAGAATGCTTCAGGCCTTAGCCTGCACTCACTCTCTAGGTGGTATCCTCCAGGCTCACAGTTTTAAATACTGCCTATACTCATATCAACAGCCAAGATCTCTCCTTTGAATTTTACACTCATACATCCAACTGCTTATTCTGTATTTGTACTTAATAGTTAAATGGAGGTATCACAAATTTAACATGTCCAAATTTAAAATCTTAGTTCTGCCCTACCCTCACTCCCATACCTGTCTCTCCTCTAGGATCATCTCCTTCCTTTCAGCAATCAGATCTTTTTATTTATTTTTAATTTTTTTACATCATTCTTCATTTTGTGCATTTTTCCATCTCAGTTGTCATCCCCATGGGCTTTCCACCACCAATTCACCATGTGCCATCACCACAGTCCAGTGCACTGTTCCCACCCAGTTCTGATCCCATTCTCCCTTTCACCCCCATAAAATGTCTCTGGCTTATAGTGATCAGATCTTAAAATCTTGAAGTGACCCTTCACTCCTTTTATCTCATACACCCCACATTCAATCCATCAACGAATCATGCTAAGTTGGCTTCTGAAATACAACCAGAACCATCTCTTGCCACCTTTGCTGCTACTGCTGCACTGATGGTAGGACACTAATCATTTCTGGCATAGCCGCCTGATTATATCAGACCATAGGATCCTATGATGTGGCTGCTACTTTGACTCCCATCTCTTCTCCCTGACTGATCTCCAACATGACTACCATTTTCCTTCCTGCTTCTGAATCCTTTGCCCCTAGTCCCTCTGCGTGAAATGTTCTTTCTTTAGACATCAACCTAACTGCCCTTTTAACTTCGGGCCTTGTTCAAAGGGTGACTTATAAAGAGAAATCCTAAGATTATCTTATTAAAAAATATCAAGTACTTGTTCCTCCATCCTTCTATTTTCCTTGGTCCATTTAATTTCTTCTTCCTTTTTCCCTCCAGTAGAATATAAGCACTTAAAGATATTTGCTTGAATTACTGTTACTTTCCCAAGGCCTTGCACATAGAAGACATAAATTTTCTCTAAATAAATAAACACGATGTTATACATTTGTTAAATCACATTTTTAGTTTCATTAATTTTGTCATCAAGAAACATAAGATGATGTCCTTGGTGACTTAATGGCATATTTCTAACTCTTCACCACAGTGAAACGGCTGAGGACTAGCAACAACAAGGGATTCCTCACCGAAGCAAACGCGTTTGCTGTCTCTTCCGGATAGACGGATTAGACTCAAACACGTGAGGGCGTTTCCGCTTCTTGCCTGTTGCCACAGCAGCAGCAGCCGCCATTCCCACGGGACCTGAAATAATAACGTATGTGTGGAGATCAGGCAGAGCACATCAACCATACAACACAGAAAACGGTTAAAAGGAAATACGTGGTAGCATTTCTTTCCTGATATGTTGACAATAAATATAGACTCTTCCTGGTATCAATATACTTCACTATTGTTCAACATGAGCCATACTTTAATTTACCAATAAAACTTAGTGAAGCTCTTTTAAAAAAGTGAATGATTTACACCTACCCACCACTCACCAGACTGAATTTTATGTATGCAGAGTTTTTGTTTCGTTTTGCCAGCATGCCCATCAGTGATGGCCATATTCTCAGAAGTGCTATATGAAGGTGCAGCATTGAAAAAAACTCAGCAAAACAAAAATACAGATCTCAAATTTCATTTTCATCCCTGTGCCCCTCTTTCCATCACCCCAAGACAATACAACGTTAAGGAAGTCAGATATAAGCACTCATAATTGGAACCCAAACAATACCCTTAAGAATATGACTTTAACTGGAAAATTTTTTACTGTATATCTGAGAATTATCCCAAAATGGAGATGCTGACCTTAAGTCAAGTCGATGAAAGCATCCTGACAGGAAACATATGAAAACTCTAAGGGGAAAATGCTAATAACAGCTGATCTGGCTTGTTCTGAAACTAATGTCAAAACTGAAGGCACTCCTGAATGCTGCGTTCCGCTGGATCTCACAAGGACACATTCATTACCACCCTTCTTTCCTCCTCACCTCCCCCCAACCCCATCACTTCTACTACTATTTGTAAGTCCTGTAAAAGATTTTGATGCTGCCCTCCCTGGTGGCAAAGTGGTTAAAACACAGCAGGGGCCACTTCCGTGCAAATTCGATCCCCACCCCAAGGTGATCCACATGGCATAGCCACAGCTGATCTCTCCCTCTCTCCAGCCTGCCCCTCACCAGTGTACTTCTTCGATCTGCCTGCTCCCCACGCTGACTATGGTGCATCTTTTCACAGTCCCTGCAACTCTGGCCTGTACCCCAGTTCTGTATGCATAAATAAATTAATTTAAAAAAAAGATTTAGATGAAAATTACATTTAACTGTTTAAGTAGCTCAATTAATTTAATTTTCTAAAAAAATCTAGATAACCTTCTCCACATGTTGTTTTAATATTATCAATATAACTTAAACCTTTCTAAAGAACCCCAAAGCAAGTAAAAAACATAGAAGAATCCTTTCATTCTAAGTTGGTAGAGAAAAAACTTACTGACCCACTTTCCAACATTTTGGTGTTTTTTGTAGTAAGAACACTATTTGAGATCTTTCTGAACAAAATTTTCAGTGTTGTTAAGTATAGATACAATGCTGTACATCTATAATTTATTCATCTTACATAAGAGCAACTTTTTTTAAGTTTTTTTTTTTTGCATAGAAGACCTGTGGGTAGTGGGGGGTGAGAGAGGATCCACCCGAGATAGAGTGGGAAGTAGAGTAGGCAGATTTGCTTTAACACACTGCTAAGTTGGAGCAGCCAGCGAGACTGAAGAGGCCTGCTGTACCTTATGTGAGTTAGCTTCCTGTCTGGGTGTCAAACTCAGGCTGTAGTGGTGATTGAGCTGAGACTTAATCCTTAGGCCACCAGCAATTTAAAAGCAAAAAATTATAATCAAATGTTCTCCCATTGAGAAGGAGATATTCAGAAGAGTAGAATACCAAGCAAGAGTTAAAATGAAAACATATAGCTACATTATCAACATGAATCTCAGAAAAATAATGAAGTAAACATGTTATAGGAAGATAGGGTTGATAACACTCACATAAAATTTAAAACATGCCAAACAATGCTAAATGCTGCTTATGATACATATTCATACAGTAAAAGGAGGAAAGAAATGGAAGAGAATGGTGAAGACCATATTCAGAATAGCAGTTACCTCAATGAAGGCAGGGGTGGAGTAGGTTTAGTAAAGGCAATAACCCACTACAACTTCCTTCTCCATTTACCTTATTATTTTCCTCAGAACATTCAGTGCTTTCTGAAAATATCTTACTGTACTATTTTTCCCACCACTGATCTATAAGTTCCTTCAGGAACAAGCTCTTGCATGACCTTGTCATAGTATCTATATATGGTAATATGTAGTAGACAGTAATTCCTTAATAATTGTTAAATGAGGGCCCTCCCTGGTGGCACAGCAGGTTGAGGCACAGTACTGAGAAGCTTAAGCCACTTCCGCATGAGTTCGATTCCGCCTGCCCTGGAGGTGACCACATGGCGTGGCAGACCTCTCCTGACCCGCCCGCTGCTCCCTTCAGCAGTGTACTTCGTCGATCTGCCTGTTCTGCTCCCCACTCTGTCTCTGGTGAATCCTCTCACCCTCAGCATCTCTGTCCTGTACCCCAGTTCTGTATGAATAAATAAATAAATCTTTAAAAAAAAAAATTGTTAAATGAATAAATGGTAAATTACTTCTACCATGCTTGGCCTCACTCTCCACATCAGCCACATGAATGGGTTAGATTAAAGCTCTTTCCTTGTCCTAACATTTTGATAGGCAGTATAGTAATGAAACACAATTATATCTCAAAATATTTTCCTTGCAAGGAACGATGCTTATTTGAATTCACTATGTTAGGATGCCCTCTTCTGGGAGGCATAAAAATTACAAAAATATATTTTACAAAGATTTTGCTTATTTTGCCATTAAGCCTTATTTCCCATTTCACCATTCCAGAAATATACAATGGATAACAACTTACAGTAATAAGATTATTCTTCATTGCACCTCTCTTATTGCCTCCCTTTGATACTAAATGTTTTATTTTTTCATTCTGGATAGCTCAGTTCCTACTAAGTTTTTCCTAAATATCTTCCAAAATCAATTTTCTTTAGATACATCCAGGCATGGTTTACATGGAGTTTTCTCACATAGTGCTGAATATGCAATATAAAGAACAAAAAGAGTAATACAAAATATAGCCCAGCTTTAGGTCATTTAGTGGCCCAGAAAAATCTCAAGACCTTAATTGGATTAAACTGACCCAGGACTATTAGCCCCTTTAGGCATCTGGCCGAAGCAAACAACAACTTCTGTAGAGGACAATAATATTCTATTAATTATTCTAAAAATAATTTTCCAAACACCTGCAGTGTTCATTCAAATATAACTAATGCACAAAGAGAAAATCCAATATAATCAACAAACAGTGCTAACTATGTAACAGGAAGTCTCTCAGGCACTCTGGATAGATTGTAAAATTATAATCCCTACTGTACTCAGAAAGATTAAAATATTTTTTCCAACTACAATTAGGAATTATAATGCTGTAAATGTAGGAGGAAAAAGATATATCAGAAATTCTGAAAGTAGAAACAAAACTATTACTACCAAAATTAGTATATCAATAAACAGACTTAAAAGCACCTTAGATATAGCTAAAGAAAAAAACAGAGTCAAAAACAGTCAGAAGAATTATATAGGAAGAAGCATAAAGTGACAGAAGGAATGCAGTATAGAATAGAGGGTAAGAGACACAGAAGACTCCATGAAGAAGACTAACACATTTAACTAGACTCATAGATGGAAAAGAAGGAACAGAGTAGAAGCAAAATTTGAAGCAAAATCTAGTGACTAAGATTTTTCAAAACTGACTGAAGGCATCAATCCACATATTCAAGAATCTTAAACCAATAAATAAGATCTACTGATAGATCCAGGTATGTCATAAAAACTATACTTAATCATAAGAGCAATTAAGGGAGAGGCATGCATGAAAGATAACCTTCTAAGGGAGTAGCTGCTAGAATGAAACAGTTAAACTCTCAAAAGCAAGGATAGAAACCAGAAGACAGTGAAACAGAATGTTCAACATGAAGAAAGAAAACAATTACAAATTAGAATTTCATACCCAGCAAGAACATTCTTCAGGCCTGAAGGTTAAATAAAACAGTGTCACAATGGCATATTACTCAGTGATCAAAAAAATATAATCTCATGCCTGCCATATGCAGCAACATGGACTGGAAAGGATTATCCAAAGTAAAGTAAATTAGAGGAGAAAGATAAATACTGGTGGTTTCACTTACAGGTATAAACTAAACAAAAGCTCAGACAAAGAGAGCTGACCCTTGAGAGGCAATCATAGATCTATGGCATCTTGAGAGGCAGGGGGTGGTATGAGCAGGAAGGAGAGCAATATGGACTATGGTGGAGGACTATGGGTTCTTTGGTGGTGGGAAAACTATGGTGACCACACCTGAGGGGAGAAAATCTAAATTGTGGAAACAAAACAAAACAAAACAAAAAAGGATGAAAAATAATGGCAAATCATTAATAAATAAATTGGGGAAAAACTGCAGCAACTAAAAAAAATTAAAACAGAAAAAAAAAAAAGAAAACTGCATACTTGAAAGGCAAGGAAATGACCATATGGATGAAACAGTGATATCATGTTAAATTAGGTAGGTGTTATTTAGAAATAGATAACAATGGACAATCATCTTTTATTTAAAACAAAAAAACAAGCATTTTAAAAGAACTTTTTATCTTTTATTTATCTTTTATTCAGAATGTTGAGACAAGCAAGCAAACACTGAGACTTTGCTACTAAATTAAATAGCAAATCCATAGTGATAAAAATGCAAAATTGTATCTTTGCGTAAAAGGAAAATTCTCAGAGACAAGTTGGATATAAAGCCCAAAAAAAAATTAACAAAGGGTTAAAAATACAAAAAGCATTAATATACAGAAGAATAGCATAGAGATCAGGAGAATGAAATTCAAGTGCCCTAAAAAACTTGTATTACACCAGAAAAGGATAAGAGTAACAATTACATAAAACTTTGGGATTAGTGAGGATGTATATCATAATTTCTGGGGACACCACTAATGAAACCATATATAACTTTCAAACCAACAAGAAAAAAATGAAAAATCAAAATTTTTCAATCACTCCGATCACAAAGAAAAAAATATATATATACAAGATGTGGGACGTAAGAGAATGTACATAGTAAAAATGATAAAATTAACCCT